GAGTGCCTCGTTCAGGAAATGCTCCAGTGAGGAAGATCCGACTCGATACGAAGACGAAGAAGACACATCAAGAAGACGAACAATTGTGGATCATCCGCTTAGATCATCGACTCTGATGAAGATGAACACGTCTAAACGTTAATTGAAAATAAAGATTATTTATCAGCCTCGTGTAAGCTTATAAAAGGAAGAATACCGAAAACCAACATTGAAAAGTGAACGACAGATGTGTCAGGGTGGCAAAAATGGCTGGTGGAATGCCATCATCTATTTCTCAACTCTTAGTTGAATTGCCAGCGTGCCCCGTCTATAGTTACTTACCAAAACTCAAAAGCTACTATCCACTTATTATTTTGTGTTTATCGGTCCATCACACCAAAGGATTGAATAAGATCGTTTTTAGCTCTAATACTTACACAGTTGTTGAAACGAATTCCGGCCCATTTGATGAATACCCAGACATTCCTGGATAGTGATGGAGTCCTTTGACGTCACCGCCCTTTGCGCAAACGTGTCGAATGACAACGTTGTGCAAACCATCCTCGGAATCCTTAAAATACGAAGGCAATACTAAATATGCATGGTTTCTCAGTTCACCACCTCATGGTCATCTTAAAGATTTGCTCAAACTTCTCAGTTTGGGAAGTATTTCCACAACTAAGAGGGTTCGCAATGGGACAGCGACTTGCATCAAGCTTTGCCATGTCATTTATGTTTAAGATAGAAGCACCAATAATCGATCTCCGGATACTCTGTATTGTAGATGCATAGATGAATGGTTTGTCACCTACTCCACACAGGACGAGATGTGCAAATGTTTTCCGTTATTGAACGAATAATCAGAGTACATTAAGTTCACCCTAGAGAAACCGCAAAAAGCCTGGCTTCCATTTCTGAACGTTCAAATTAAGCTATCTCGAAATGGCCACATCATGAAATGGTTCCGAAATCCAAGTAAAAAATATAGCAGTTCATTAACTCTCCTCTCACCCCTCGAACAAAAAAGGACGCTTCGTTTTGTACAGCCACCAGCGCATGCACAGAAAGAGAACAGAAGGAAGAATCCGTGAAACTGGAGCGGCAGATAGCCAATTACAATGGATACGAAGCTATAGTTTCTCTGGATAGCTGTGGAAGGAAGACCAGTGACCCAAACGGTAGTTCAAGCTAGAATGAGGTTCGTTGACCCCGCTCTTAATTTCTAACGAAATAAGCGCAGATATAAAACGCTTCCTAAAAAAACAGCTCTAGAGAATTCGGTAGCGATGGCTGAAACACCACTCACTAAGCCCTCTAAGGCGCTGACTAGTTCATTAGTGCCAGCATGAACGTCTGTGCAAAACGCAAAATTGCACAGTATTCCCTAACGGTAATGAGGTTGACTGAACGAGTTCGGGTACGGTTTATCCGATCTATTTTAAAGCGTGCGGGGAACGAATAAATTGGAGAAATGGGTAGATCGCCGTGCATCCGTATGAAGAAACATATAGACAGTAAACTTGAGGAGCACATAAGGACACAAAAACATAACGGTGAAGAACTTGAATAGAAGTTACTATCCTCGCTCAGGAATCGGAGAACTTTAGTACGCAAAACTCTTGCGAGGACTGATAGAAGGCGGTGAGTGCATGAAGATGCCATTTTCCTTTCAGTGCGATTGAATCTATCAAAATCTGTTCCTATTCCGTCAAAACACAGCTGGGAGTAAGGGAGTGCAAGAGTCTTGGTGGCTGTGGTGATTAGCAAGTGAAAGGTAATAGTGGGTTCGAACCCCAAATGAAATCCTGCTAGTTGCGCTCATATCTCAGGTTGCCTGTGGTTCTATTTCATATCGTACCGCTCTGTGAAAGAAGAATGGACGGAAAACACAAGTCAAAACACCGTAACTTTAAAAAAAAATTTTTTGATGCGAGCATTATGACTGTGGACATTAACGACGCATTTGAGAAGATCACTACATTCCATTGCGAGAGATATCTGTTTATTCAAACTCTTCTTTATTTGAAATTTCAGCTCTAAGTAATAAGGGAGAGAAAAAGTAACCATGAATTGAAGTTTTCGGTGCCCAAAACCTGCACGACAAGATGGTTAGGTATAAAAATTGCATGCTGTTGGCGAATAAAATTATTTTGGTAGTTATTATTTAAATTAGCAAAGTTCACTATGAGCTGAGAACAGTCTCTTTAGAGTTGAGATGTCAAACTGATTTGAGTGTTTTGTGAGTCGTGTGTGACTCAAACGGTCCACAATATGCTGACATTAGGGAAAACAAATACGTTGGTAATAAACTAAGAACAAGTGGGCCTTCGTGCTGCAGTGATCAATTTCATGATTAGATTCCAGAAAACCTTTGCTAATATAGGCGTTGGTAATCGTGTTTTTGATCTATGTTTGCACATGCTAAGTGTAGGAAAAACATTGAAAACCATTTTCTGAGGGTGCCTGCCGAGCTCTCTAGTTGGCAAACTGTTGGTTGTGCAGCAAACCCACTCTGCTTTAATTGGTTAGCGTCGGTAATAAACGATGAAGGTCTTAACGTTTTAAGCTTTATTCACTGTCTATTCCTCTTTCATGGCAGCAAATTATGTGAAATATAATCATGAGGATGCTGAGACATGAGAAATACGCGGAACCTCAGGTGAGCCTCGAATCCACGATTATCTTTTCCTGGGAGCTCACGTGCTACTCATTGCACCACCCATACAAGTGCTTTGCGATTTCCTCAGCTAGTTTACTGCTAACGGTGCAATTAGCAATCACCCGTCAACGGGAATGATGTGGGGAAAACAAATAGGCATTGAACCAAGTTAAGAGCTAAAATGATGGTCTAAATCACAATGTTTAGCATTGCTTAACTGAACTCAGCGCCGATTTTATACCTCGAATCGTTCCCGTTGACGGTTCAATGTTGACAGCCCCGAGGGAGTAAAAGATACGCTGAGTGGAAGGCAAAGCACAGGCCTTGGTGGTAGAGTAGCTAACAAGTGAGCTCTCTGAAGTTCACTTGCCATTCCGAGTTTTGCTCATATCTCAGCATCATTGTAATTGTACCTCACCTTAAAGCGTGCATATAAAAATAGTAGGCAGTAGATAAAATTAAACAATGTAATTCCTACTGCTACCTTAGCTTAACTGGTACCCATCCCGGATTCGGATTCTCAGATCATGCCCGTCGACGGGTGATAATACCGGCTGAGTAAAATAGTGGGTGAGAGGAAGGCAAATGTAGGGACTCGGCTGGTGTGGGGATATCACGTGAGTACCCAATAAGGGTAATGGCGGGTTCAAAGATCAACTTTTGTTTTTCTTCAACTCTGAATTTATTCATGCGTCAGCGTCCTTGTTGTTGATGTAGCTCCTAACTCATTTTGTTGAATTTTTGACAGCATTTTGCTGAACTAATGGCTTTGCTACGGCTCAAGAATTTACAACGAATATAAGCAATTTTGCCCCTCGGATTAGCTTCATCTTTGTACAGCTTTGTGCGGAACATTGTCTATTGCCCTGCAGCTGCTCAAGAAAGTGGAAGGTTTTACTTCAAGAATGCTTAAAACGAAATTTACACCCAGCTTCTCTTCACTTCAATACTCGCGAAATCCTTTTTTCGAGTTTTTTTTGATCCTTTACATTTTGTTGACATGATAGTTAATCTCCTCGAGCTTACTTCGTGAGCTTTGGAACAGTTGTGCGCTTAACGCTTTAAACTAAGTGTTCAGACGATCATCGTTGAAGGAAGTAAATTGATTCCAACGCGGTTGTACCGTACCATCGTCAACAGCAACCTGCCACAGACGTTTCCCTCGTGAGGCGTTTAGTTTACGTTGAGTTCATGTTGAATTTACACGAAAAAATATGATCGACTTTTCTTTTCTTCATCTTATTTCGATAACCTAAATTTAAGAAGATGTCGTACAAAGAAAAGCATAGATAAAAAACTGGTGTGCAACATAAAGACAAAGGCATAAAATCTCATTTAAAAATAAAGCACCGAAATTTAAAAAGACAAAACCGACGTAATTTTTAGCACAAATTCGTACTTGGCAAAGGAAAGAGCTTCGATGAGTCGTTTTTGCAAAATTTAAGCACTTTGAAAGAATGCAAGAACTGCTCCAGACGCATAGGGATATAAATACGATGGCAGGAAAATCATGATAATTTTTCGCAACAAAGAAAAACTTTGCGAACAAGAAGGGTCCAGAAAAGTAGGAAATACCATTTAAACAATTTTAGGCAGTGTGATGGGAATAGTGGTACGTTTGGCAGACAGGAACTGATTGAGGAGACTTCCAGAAACCATCAATCGAGCCTAAGCTGATGCTCAAAGCATCGGGCTCCGAATCGGTGGATTTTTGATGCTTAAGGCAGTGTTGCGTACTGGCTGCTCTCCTTCAACCTAAAGATCTTCATAGATATTAAGAAGTCAAACGACATGACCACAAGTTCATTATGTTTTTTTTTCTGTTTTTCTCATACGAATTACAACCACAATGATACTGAAATAGGAGCAAAACTTGGAACCCGAGGTGAGTTTCGAACTAACGACTACCTTTTCCTGGGTATCATGTGTTACCCATTGCGCCGCCGAGACTCGTGCTTTAACCTCCTTTCAGCCTATCTTTTACAGTAAGGGTACTACCAACAATCATCCATCAACGGAAATGATCCGTGGAGCAAATTCGGCACTGAATCCAGTTAATCAACATTAAACATAATGATTTCGACTGCAGGCCTCAGCTTTATTTGATCTAATGCCGATCTGTGCTTCGCAGATCATTCCCATTGACTCATGATTGCCGATGGAGTGAAAAAAACTGGCTGAGAGACCTCGGTTGGTGGGGTGGATAGCATACGTTCACTCGCAAGGGTAATCGTGAGTTCAAAGCTCAACTGAGGTTCCGAGTTTTGCTCAAATCTCGACATCCCAAGGTTATAACGAGTCTTAGGAAAAGGCAAAATTTAGAAGAGAAGGAACTGCTTTATCGTTCATACGTTTAATACATTCATTTAATATAAAATTCTACTACCTGTTTCTCTTGTGTCACTTTTGTTACGTGGAAGTAACTGCCTGGTCGACCGTTCACGGAACGCACGACAAGGTCTGCTGTACTTCGAGCCTACAAATGGCCTATGAGGATGATTCTTAACGCAGCGTTGTACCGAAAAACGCCCACCTCTCCCGCAACGTTCTCAGCTAGGCAGGTGAACTGCCCACTATCGGCCATTTCCACTCGAACGATTATCAAAGAGTGTATTCCATTTCCTTCCTTCAATAATAGGGATCATTTCGTTTGATTATAATGTCAGTTATACTTATATTAATAAAGCGATTATAGAACTAGCTGAGAGACAGGCAAGACGAAGGACCCGGAAGGTGTAGTGGTGAAGTGCGTTGCTCCCCGGTAAGGACAACAGCGCTCATTCGTTCCCCACTGCATACACCTGTGGTCCGGAGTTTTGCAAATATCTCAGCATTTCATGCGAGTTATATTTCGCAACATACCCTGCCATTAAGAAGAAAAAGGCAGTAAATAAAAGGGTTAAGAAAGCGATTAACGCCAAACTACGTCATTGCTCCATAGTGTGTGATTAGAGGTTCAAGGCAAACAACAAAAAGTATGGACGACTATATATTTGCAAAGGCCCATCGAAGTGATGCGCACTCATCTTTCTCGAGACCGAATTAACCTATACATATGTGTACGACTATTCGTTTTCAGCCAACTCAAGTTCAACCTTGCTGGTGAATGCGGTCAGAAGCTGCATTCAAGTTACTTGGAAGTGTACAGAATGCGACGTTGCAGCTAAGGCCAAGCCTACTCTACGCGTATATCGGCATGGCTTAATCTTAAGTCCTTTTTTGAGGTGTAGCTGAGCAAGCCACGGGGTATCTTCTCACAAAAAACAGGTATGGAACATTCAATTACTATGCTTTAGGTCTCTCTCGAGTCAAAGAAGCAAGATGACAGTTTTAGCACGTGACAAGAACGAATAGTGGCTTCAGTACGCTTGTCTAAGTCACATTTGAAGGATTACGTGTGATATAGATTTATTTGAAACAAAAATAACTCAAAGAAATATTCTAACGTATAACTTTTTATCTATGCCTCAGTTTTTTTTTCAAGGAAGGGTATTATGCGAAATACAACTATAACGATGCTGAGATATTTGCAAAACTCCGGACTGCAGGTGCCTGTGGTTGGGATTGAACACGCTTTTACCCCTTCCGAGTGCTAAAGCTTTCACCACAACGCCATGCAAATTCTTCGTTTAGTCCTTCTCTCAACCGAATTTTAGAAACATTTTATTTAAACAAATTTCAACCAAATAATTTGCACTTTATCGATGATGTTAGCAAGGGGAATAGCCTAGGGAGCACAAATCGGAATTGGACCCAGTTAAGCTGAAGAAGCAGCCGAAATAACGATGTTTGACTCCTATTTACTGCCTTTTCTCTCCAATAGAGGCCTCATTGGATAACTGATAGCACCGGTAGAGTAGAAATACTGCTGAGAGAAAAGGAAAGCAGAGGCATCGGTTGGTGCGATGGATAGCACTTCAGCCCTCTGTAAGGGTAGCCGATGGCTCGAACCCCACCTGAGGTTCCGAATTTGGCTCATATCTCAGCGTACTTGTGGTTGTATTTCGCATAGTAACCAACTATAAAGAAAAAACAGAAAGTAAATGAAAGTTAAGGTCAGGAATTTATTTCCTAATAGGGAATGTCCAAACAGTGTTTATTTGGTATGAGCATTTTCTTCAAAGAAAATTCTTCAGCTCCTAGGCACTCTTGCCATCGTACATAAAGCACATAGCGCAAAGCAGTGAAGTTGGAGTTTTGAGATAAAAAATTCGTGCTAAAGAGTGTTATTTTCACCGTTTAACAGTTTTCCTTTGAAAACTCACATCGATTATCCTCACTTCTTCGCAGTCGGGGATCTCCACACCATCTCGTAACCAAGTCACCTAAACAACAAACAATATGTCTACTTTATAATTCAAAACATTCACCTCCGAGAGTCCCTTGTTTTATACGGCAATTTTCTGCTGTCCTTCAATAATAATTCAAAGCTCTAACAATGGAAACATGCACAAATGAAGGAAGGGAAAGAGCAAAGGCATTACTTTCCCTGCCTCATTCCCCCTTCACTTTCTCTCTTTTGTATTGCTTCAGATAACCATTGTTCTACACCTTTCATCAAGCAGCTACTTGTTGGTGGTGGTGAGTGATGAAATTCGAACATCAAAACTTCGGTCTTTATAGACTCAAGGTAAGGAAGGCAACAAGATAAATACTTAGTTCTAGAGATGATCAGTAGGAAGCGAGAGGGTTGAGAAGCTTTCAACAGCATTGAGGATGTGGTGAGAAGAGCAAAGAAAATCGAACTTCGTGCTCATGTTATCGACTCCATGATTTTGCCTGGGTCGAAAAACTGGTCACTAAATGAACAAGATGAATGGCCACTCAGCGTTATCGAACGGCCAGTCAAGAGGGCTATGTTGGGAGTATCCCATATCACGCAAGTAAAAGAGAGGATCCGAAGCTCCGACCTGCGTCAACGATCAAAAAGTCAAGGATGCCGTTCTGTACGCCAAACAGTCGACGATAAGGAAGGCCGGACACGTAGTGCATTTGAACGACAACAGATGGACCGGAGACGTAAGTGACTGGATTGCTCCGGATGTTAAACGTATTACAAGTAGGACATTAACTCGATTGTCAAAAAATCAGAAAAAACGAAGATTCCGGGAAAGAAGATATGATATTCATCAAGCCCTTAGAACGAGCAGAATCGGTTGGGCTACTTTTCTACGAGACAGAAAGAAATGGAAGGTTGACTGACGGCCCTGCGGGTTATTCAGCGATCATTGTGGCGGCGGGTTACATGGAGGAAAACAACATACACAAGCGCATACGTACATGCATATTCATATACATACATACGTACATACATACATACATAAATACATATACATAAGAATATACATACACGTATACATATACATATATATACATATACGCATACATGTTCACGTATATACATATGTATATATACGTATACACATACATATACCTGTATACACACATACGTACATAGATACATGGATACATAGATACATAGATACATACATACATACATACATACATACACACATACACACATATATACATACATACATACATACATGCATACATACGTACATACATACATACATACATGCATACATACATACATACATACATACATGCATGCATACATACATACATACATACATACATACATACATACATACATACATGCATACATACATACATACATACATACGTAAATACATACACGGATTACAGTTGTAATTTATTATGTCTCAAGCACCAGCGCCCACATCGAAGTGGATATAGACTCCTTAATCCACTAACATGCAATGACGAGGAGAATTCTGACAGCGCAAGTACTGGGGTGTGCAGTGCGCGGAAAAATGAAGCGGTATCCACGGGAAGAAAATGTTTGGAGAGCTATTGTCTACATAAACTGGATCTGTTTTCATCTAACAAGGAATTCTTCTTAAAAAAAAACTGAAAAATACCCTTGGCTTAGGGTCTCCTGTTACTCGAACAGTCCACTTCAGCTCGTTTCCTTCAACGACTTCTTTGCTAATCAGTCGCTGAATGAAGTCAGGCGCAATCGTTTTCGCTGCAACATCATCTTCTGGACTTTATACAGTGCGTGGGTGAAGTTCAAAAATAGAACAAAATAAAAGGCAGTAATAATATCATGATTAAAACAATTTACAAATTAATGATAGGACAGTTTGACAATAAAGAACTAAGTATAATGACGACAAAAAATTGCTGATGCTACTCTCCTGAATCACCTGCAATGAGCTGAAATGCCGCTGATCATCGAATAACACAAGTGGGTACAAGAAACGTTTAATAATTTAGCTCTGGCCTTCCGCCAAAGCTACCGGTGGGTTATGTTGGGACGGTGGCATGATAAGTATTGTTCTATATATTATGTAGACGGCAACCTCGAAACACCTCAGATATCCTTCATATCCAGTTGAAGACATAGTTCCGTTCATTGCACGCAGGGAATCTAATTGATTAAACAACAGCTTTAACGCTTGCAGCCATAATTAACCATCTACCTTCTAATTACAACGCACCAAATTTTCTGGCAGCAAGTCGGTTTCAGATCACTTCATCCCACAAAGTTCCTGGAAATATTGCTGAGCTCTCGTCTGTGTTACGCTGGATTCATCTATATCTATTGTATTCACTTAGTCAATTTCATAGACGGGATCGTGGGTTTACCTGCATATATTAAAATTGGATCTCTACACGTCAGATGTAGCAGAATTCTCATGTGCTGGGCTCGCTGCAGATAAGCTACATGAGCACTTTGAGCAAGGCATGACAAGTTACGCTGGAGTGTACCAATCTTATTCCAAAACCTAATAGCAGACTATCCGAGTTTTCCTCTGTCATAAAAGTCTCCTCCTTAAACCAGAATGAGTAATCTACAAAAAACAAATAGCCTCCCGTATAATGCATCTGAAACAGAGGATAAAGAGTTTGGAGCTACACTGACAAGTAAGGATCAGAGAAGCTGATCTACACACCGGAATTTCGAAAATAATACGGGTACGATACTTGGGGTGTCTTAAAGACAAGTAGTGGAATTGCAGCATTAAAAACTACGTTCCGTGGAATGTCAAACATACAACGAGGTGGCCAACATCGACCAGAGATCCTCATGAAGAATATGAAAACAAATATCTAATATGAAAGTCTTTGCGCATGAGCGTCAAGAAACCAATTGGGCAACTCTTGTTTACGACAGAGAATGGAGACGTTACAGCTATTTGCTCAGGTATCTCTAAACTCAACAGGAATACAGGTGAAACATGGCACGACATCATTAGGATTTTTCTGACTATTATGTCACTATTATTACTGAACTGTGGCCATTATTTATTATTTGCACTACTGGGACGCGCGCAGCGTATTGTTTAAAAGTCCCTTGCAAAACACATGTGGTACTTCGTTCGATATCGCTCCTCTCTCACCACCCTTTAGATCACCAAGCAAACCTTCCATCTCTTCAGCATCGCAAATTAGTCCCAGACCTACCTTGCTTAGGAGGATGGCAGCAATGAATTGATACACTGTTACGCCACCTTAAGTTGCATTGAGGGCCAGATGTGTATTCGTTATTACGCTTTATTATTATCATTATTATTACTGTAATTATTGTTACTATTACTGCTGTTACTGTTATTACTATTGGTTCCATTATTACTACTATTATCATCATTAGTATTATCAATGATTTCATAATAGCCAATTATTGCTACTCACGCCTGACCACAAGTTGAGCGCTGCTTGTGGCTACGCCACTGACATTCCGGGCAGTACACATGTACTTTCCACAATGGGAAGAATTGCATTGCTGAAATAATAGAAAACTCATTTTAAAATTGCTGTTATTAATAAGAAACGAGGATTGGCAGAGAGCTGCTACTCTGTGAGGAGCTCCAATCGGAATGAACTTTGGGAATTTTCGCGATTAAAAATCATACTGGAGGATCGAATTACGTGTTACTTTTAACGCATTTTCAATCTAGGACTATGCGCATTCATTTCAATGCGCAGGGAAAATTTTCGTCGCTTTCAACACCCGGACACGTCTAAACTCACCACTCAGCTTTCCAATTTAAATGGAAGCCGTTAGAAAACACAGATTCTTATTAATAAGGTGCAATTGATCTTGTTCTACATAATGATAAAATACTAATATTTTGGAACACAGACAACATTTCGCCTTAGTTTCGTTCAACCGGTGCTTGTTTTTCATGCAATAAAACGATTGAACAAGCAGAACTCCATCTAGAAGGTCGGGATCGTCTCCGTAAGCGAGTTTGCGATCGTTGTTAATGCGGCAAATGCTTTAAAAACTTGCACTTCCACTTTTTTTTAGTTTTGAAGTTTTCTATCAAATTCGTGTTAGCCTATCACTGAAAAAATACATATTGACTAAACATGCCGAGGTTGGAGGAAAACTGGATTTCGAAATATTAATATTTCTCTCCGGGGACTCACGTGTTATGCGCGACACTACTGTTGCTCGCGTTCTGTCTTTCTCTCAGTCAGCCTTTCTACCATAATGGTGCTATCGGCAATCACCCGTCAACATGAATGATCTCGGAAGGAAAAGTCAGCATTAGACCAAGTTAAGCTGAGGCTGTTGCCTGTATTGTCTCTGTAATCGTAATGGGCAATAGATAAAATTTGTAGAATGTGATTTTGACTACGGTGTCAGTAATTAATGCTGACTTGTTTTCCTCTGATCAATCCTATTGATGGGTGGTTTGATGACGACATCGGTAAACAAAAAAAATTGCCTAAAAGAAAGGTAAAGCGAGAGCCTCAATGGTGCAGTGGGTAACACATGAGCCCCCCCCCCCCCCACCCAAAGGATAATCGCGGGTTTCAATCAAGCTTTGGGTCTGAGATTTGCAGACAACTCAGATCATTGTGGTTGTATTTCACATGATATCCTATAAAAAAATAATGGGCTCTAGATAAAACTTGTGCACTAGAGTTATCCTTTTTCCAGAAACCTGGGTGCTGAAAGATTTGAAGTTAAAAGCGGGTGTTTAGACGCTAAGTCAGCGATATGGCAAAGTTCATTCTGGTTGAGTTATCGTGAATGTGCTAAAGACTGGCGATGAATGAGAAGCAGTAGGTGAAACGAACTAGTGAGATTGCAAACCATGGGCAGCATGCACAATACGGTGTCTCCTATATCAATTAGGAGTGTGACACGACTGTATGACCCTGTTCTATTCGGTGATCTAACCAGTCGCTCCCCAGAATGATGACGTTTGAGAAATTGTATTTGGCAAATAGCGCCAAGTAAACGAGTACGAGTCGAAGTGATGTTCCTAAGAGGTCCCGCTTTACTTCATCGCTCCACCTTCTCCACAGTACACAACAAAGGATTGATAAATTCATTGATGTATAGATGCCAGGTTACCTTGAAAAACAATGAAACTCTTCCTCCAATATTACTGATATCAACGTTCGGCAGTGAGTTTTTTGTGAACGGCACGCCATCTTTGTTCCATTCAATAGTAGGAACAGGCCAGCCTTAAATCGATAAAAGTTTTTGAAAAAAGCGAACGTTCTCCGGATAAACAAGATATTCGTCGTGTGGTTTGAGGTTTTGGATAAATCTTCTAGTCAAGAAAAGCTATTCTCTAATCTGGAGTGACAAAAATGGCAAACCAAAATGAGTGCTGAGTTTTTTGTTAACCATGGAGCCTTCGCCATATGCATCATATTGTGCATCGTTTTTCGTTTTAATGGGAAAACCATGATAAGGAGTTTAATGAGTAGGAAGGACAGCTCTGTTCACTGACCAGTGACAATGCCCTCGAACTTGGCCGACTCTCCTTCGGCGGCGACCGTAGAGACAAGGGTTTGTGTGAAGTGAGGAGGATTCCCTGCTGGTTGGCGTTCTTCCACGTCGTACTGCTCCAGTGTTTCCTATAAGCGAATCTATAGTGAAATCCGAATTTCTTCGTTCGCTTTGAGTTTCTGTGGTAGTTCAAAACTATTTCTTTGTTCGAAACAATTCTTTGAAGAAAGTCTGACTTTCAAATTAGGCTCTACCTATGAATAAATGTCGTTTAATTGACAGATGACATTGAAGATAAAAGTGTCAAAAATTGAGACTCATCCATAAATAATCAAAAGAATTTATGGAATGGATCAGATGGATGCTAATGTTAAACGTTGATGAAAAGCGGGTATCTTCTTAGTTTAACAATGGGGCGGATTCAGAGAAGATGCTACATTTTCTTATGCATCGGATTGACATTTACCTTTTGCGTGCATATTCGTTGTCGTGCTTACCTGCATGCTGAATTAATCTTACATATTGATTTTCGTAGTCTGTTGGACCTGGGTCAATGTCGCCTCGATAAATAAGTTGGATAATTCTGGCAAGGTACTTGTACCTTTCCCAGGTGTCCCAGACCAGCCCGCTACCCGTAGGTCCCATTTCGTCAAATTAAGCAAAATGAAAACCTCACACGAATATTGTACTACATCAAACTCAACTAAGAACTTTGCTGCATGACAAAAATTGTACAGTTCGTTAGCCATTGCTCTGGTAACAAGATGCTTTTTGATATTACAGACGCTACAAGTGATACTTATTGTCGCAGTCTGCATGAGACAATATCTTATTTTAACCACTGCAATCTGTACAAATCAAACCACTGCGACAGCTGAACTACTGTGCTCTTTTAGTATTTAGCTGCACTGTCATTCATTAAATTGATCCCATAGTTGCACACCCACCTGTTTCTAAATAAAAAGCTTACCACACTTTTTCTATGTGCTTGGAATCTTTTTGCCGGTGGTGGAGTGACCAGTCTGCTCGCTTCATGCTTCTGTGGTCGTCGTTGTTCATACTCAAATATAGCGAATTCTTCAGTTACCTAGACAATCAGGTGTTAATATTGCCAATATCGACAAATTATGTTAGAACCTTAGGCATAGATAAAAAGTATAGATCGACAGTCTTCGCAGCGACAAGACTGCTGCAGTTCCGAAGACACAGATCCAACACTGCGAAATAGTTTGCTAAGACACAGTCACTAAGAGTTTAACACCTGTAGCACTAACTCTAGTGTGCTCACTCGGCGGATGGTGCTCCATGATTGTTTGTGACGGTGGAGAGTAACCTGTTTTTTGTTGGTATTGAATCATGGATTTTGGACGCACGTGCAGGACGGTCAGTGACTCGATCTGACCTCGCATGTTCTGAAACATTACATTATTTCAAAAACGCAGCAGTATTGAACATGATTTCGATGCATTTTTTTCGGAACGTAGAACAAAGAAACGTTCCTCGTCACTCGTTGGTATTTCACATTAAGTGTTAGCGCCTAGATGTTCTGAAACGTACCTCGGCAACAATTTTATAGTAACCAGAATGCTCCAGCCTTGCTTTGTCAATAACAATCGAGTATGTGTCACCATCGGTAACAATCTAAAAAAAACCTTTGTAAAGCTGTAGGAAAAAGATCTACACATGTATAGAAGCTCAGAAGACTCCATTCTCAAGTAGTAAATCCACTTGATACACATATATTTTAATTTTTACTTGATCCGTCTTTACGTACACTGTGAGGATCCCAGCACATCTCACATTTCTCACATTAGATTCATTTCCTCGTACCCTTTGTCCACGAAGATCTTCCAACTTTTACGTGTGGCTTCGGTTGCTGCTTGAGAATTTTCATTTTATCTTGAATGTCGTAGAATGCTGGTCGAGCAATTCTCGCTGGAGTCCTGAGATAGCCGAGCTGGAGCAGTCCCAATTGTATTGTAGAGAGTGATTTTTTTCAGACAAGTCCGGTACCAATTTTCCGACCCTGGAGAGATGAGAGGCTTTGTTGGCCCAGAGCGGAATCGAACTAGCACCATGCCTATGATGACGGACATCATTATTACTGTGCTATCCGTCCCTTAATATATATACCTGATACTTGCTTGATACTTGGACGGCCCGTTCTTACTGGTTGTGCGGGCACCAGCATAATCACCATTTTTCGGAGATTTTCTGGTTGAGCCGTTGTGGTTCCCTGAACTCCCGAGGTCAGCCTGGCCAAAGCCTGCCCCAGATCGTCGCCACCATAGGCAGTCGCAGCCCTTGTGGATCAGAGCAAGACTTGCCATCAAGCAACTTTGATAACAGTACGGTGATGGATCCTGGTGTTCGTTTGCTCTTAGCTAGGTTTCGTGATGGAAGCGCCTTCTCGGCTTGGAAGACCCTGCGAGGGGACGAATCCCCCCGCTGTGCATCGCAGTCCGACACCCAAGAACACCTCTTGGCCATGATGAGGCGGTAAACCATTGGAAACCACCTTGGTCCATGCCAGGCTTCTTGATATATATATATATATATATATATACAAAGTAAATATACATACATATTTATTTATGTATGGATATGCATATACATATCTACACAAATGTGAGAGAAAAGAACTATGCAAGACACAGTTTTTAGTTCGATGTGGCGCATGAACAGTGAGCGGGAAATGATGTACTGTAAATAGCTATAAGTGAAAAAAAGTATGAGCGATTTGAAACCCACTTCACAGAATTGTGATCCCTTTCTGACTTCCTTTTCGTTGAAGAAAAATCGCACTTTAGGCCGTGGATTGCCAACGAGCATACAATCAATTACTATATGACCACCTTCGTCGACAGTGTAATCCTTATAGAACCCACGAATAAACTCTGGTTCCGTCGATGTTTTCGACTCTCCTAAAGAATATTCTACGTTTTCTTAGTCGACAGTAGTAAAAAAAATGAGTGGAGTTTATCGTTAAGTGCATACCGATCGTTTGAAATTCTTCTCGCTTAAATTCTTCGAGCAAGGACCTATGTTTTGGAATGGGTGGTGGGCTAGGAGAGCCGGTGTACGCGCCGTCCGTCCAAAAACCATCGCCCTCGGATGATGCCTAAATTTTCATCCCGTCGTTTAATTGATCCAAATTGAACAGAATTGTTACTCAAACGAAATTAACCACATCTCCTCTTATTATGGAAGTTATTGTTAATACTAATAAAAATGAAAAGTAGTTGTCATGTTTAACACTTAATCTAAAACTATTTATAAGACGGTTCTGATCACTACGTTTAGATTTTGCTTCTCGCAACAAATTCTGTTGAATAGCGAGATAAGTCGGAAATGATAGGCAAACTTATAGCGATTTGAGGCGCTGCACTATATGACCCGTGAACGTTTAAATTGGCGAGAACTTAGCCCTTACAACTTTTTTGACCCCCAAGTGAGAAACTGTTTTGTTCGGTTAAAAGCTCTAAGCCTACCGAAGCTAGACAGTGGTGCTGAAAGAGTGGTAATGGGTTGAATTTCAGGTGGCAATCTCAGCAATCCTTGGATGTACTCTAATCAGGCTTCTCGAGTCATAGGGCCGGTAGGCCTCAAGCTTCGCAGTGCGTCCGTAAGTGGCGGATAGGGAATTGAACATGGAACAAAAGCGACCATATGGTTCTGTGACACTCAAATACATTCACGTGATAAATTCCGTATACCTGCCAGACCAGATTAACAAAAACTTTTGCATTTACACAGATATATTAATGCATGCCTCCCAACAGTTTACCGCCTCATCTTGGCTGGGAGATGTTCTTGGGTGTCGCAATGCGATGCACAGTGGTGGGATTCGTTTCCCCGACAAGGTCTCTCAAGTCGAGAAGGAATCCGGCGTATCCATCAGGTAGCCTTGCTAAGAGCAAGCCAATACCAGGACGCACCAGCGCCCTGGTATCAAAGTTGCATAGTGGCAAGTCTCTTTCTGATCAACAAGGGTTGCGACTGCCTGTGGTAGTGAAGACCTGGAGCAGACTTTGGCCAGGCTGACCTCGGGATTCCAGGAAACCACAATGGTTTAACCCGCAAATCTCCGATAAATGGCGATTATGCTGGGGTCTGCACAACCAGCGAGTACGGGCCGTTCAAGTGTCAAGCGTCAAGTATTAATGCATGCGTGCGTGGATGTACTTGTGTGAATGAAGAGTGTAGTCAGTTTGGCTAAAATCGCGAGAAGAAATCGCTAGAAAGTATATAAGAAGTGCTTCGCATTCAACAAATAAGATCTTTGTCTACTCCGGAAAGAACACCTGAATGTATTCAGCCAAGCAGGAGGTCTTGGCAAACCTACGTAACGATCAGTCGTCGAAAATGAAACAGTGAAATAAACGGATCTCATTCCGTTGACGCGCAAGCAGTCCCGATGCCGCGGTGTTAGGCCGGTGAAGTGCGGAGACGATGATGAATTGGTGGTGACGTGAGATGACGATCACTATATACAATAAATATGTGCTAAGATCTGAACCCAATGCTGAAGGACTAATCACGCAGTCTAACAAGACACAGTCAAAAGTTGTGAGACTTCAATGTTTTTCATCAATAAGCAGACACGAGGTTGTTAATATAGAATTTATTAGAACACAATTGCTGACGTTTCGGCGGTTTCGCCTTCTTCAGAGCCGTTTATTTGTCGTAAGTATTTAAGTTAGTTGGTGGATAGCCGCCGCACAGAGTAATACATGGTCGATAAGTTGTGAGACTGTCCGAAAAACACCGTACATTTAACGTTTATGATAGTAGCAAGCGAACTGATCTACGAATCACGCAATGGAGGAGTTTGGGGTCTCGACATCCTCATCAACACGACTGTCCCTATAAACATTCACTATTTTGAACAACTTAATACCTGGGTCGAACGTTTACTTCTGAAAGATTGTGTACTAATACAGTCTTTGAAAATCTTCGTTGTGTACGCGCCACTATAAGATTTTGAGAAGAGAAGGTTGCATATGAAACTGGAGAAGTTATACGCTGAATATTTTCAACAACATAATCACTGACGAAAAACTTTGATCTAGGAGGGCGTTTGAAGGACGTAACATTGGGATCCGCAGATTGGAATGAAACGAACAGGAGAGCGTCCATCTGAGCTTATCACGATGACTAAAACTATCTGTGGTAACTCCAATCCTAGAAGTTCTTCTTTCACCGTTGCGCATACTAGACTTCTACTAAAGGCTACCACAACGAGATTGAGCAAATCATGGTAAATCGACGGTTTCATTTAACCAATGC